CCCCCCCCCCCAAATGCCTAAACAGGGTCTCATCTTTACCTTGCTTTTGTAGATGGTGTAAGCTTCTTTCTCACTCTGCAGGGCCGAACGGAAATCTCCACGACATGAGTGCGTGCGAGCAACCAGGTGATAGGTCATAGCCGTCTTTAGACTTTCCGATCCAAAATATCTGGAAATAAAAAAGAAAATTAAAACAATATAAAGATGTATATTTCAGAAATACTCATCAGTAATGAAAACAGCACAATTTTCTACAGAACACAAAAGTAAAAAAAAGTCTATTTTGTGCTATAGAGAAGAGAATTGGACAATTAACTTCGTGATAAAAGCAATGCGACTGTGGTATGCGAGGGAAAACTATCCAGAAACAGCTCAAACTGGAATCAAACTGACAAAAGACTAGAGGGTTCTGAAACAACCATCCAAATCTCATCATTCACAGGATCTCGTAATATTTCAGATGACTCCTCTACTCCATGAGCAAAATTGAGAATGGCACGATATAAACAGTCGCTCTTAAGGACAAGCGGGCTAACCCAGATTCCGGGGATTTCCAGCAATCTTAACCAACACCAAAAGTGGGCATTGCCCTACCTATAGGAGAAGTTTGGTTTCATTGGTGACTTTATATTTGTTTGGTTATAGAGAAAACTCTCCTTGTCTTTTAAAGAAACTGAACAAGCGGCAAAAACTTTTCCTTTGATTTTCTCAAACAGCATTGTTCGGGATAACTCCCTTTAAAGTGACCAAACATGTCCAAAAAGTCTTAGACCAACATACCTGATGTTGAGCTGTAGAGCGTGCTCCAAGTAGCGCAGAGAGAAGTCGTACTCCTCCACGGCTTGTAGAATCAGCCCGATGTTGCTCTGAACACACACAAACATAGAAAACATATGCGAATTTACGGGAAGAAAAGACATTTTATCCAGACCAACCCAAAACAAACATTATTTATTTACATGATGAAGAGATAACCGAATAATTCTTCTGATAGAAACAAGTAATAGAAATATAAAACTTCAAGTTCTAAAAAAGTAATTAACATTGGCACTCTAAAATGTTTAGCCATTACAAGAACACAGCACAACAAACCTGCAACAGGCCATGAAAAAAGGAAACGAAACCACAAACATTGATGACAAACCACCCAAAACAAGATTAATGACAAAATACTGTGTTACACACGAGATGCATGGACGTAAGCTTCACCAATCGTCGCCTCAGAACTTTTTAGTTCAAAGTGCCCTCTTTACTTAACCCCTCCAGACCCAAGCCTGTATATTTTCAGCCGCG